GCTGGACACCAACAACTCAGGACCAAGTTTCCTGAGAAATTAATTGACCAAAGGTCAGGTACATGGGAGCCACGCCCAAAACCACTTCCTGATCAGCTAACAAGCTCATTAACCTTGCTTCAGAGATCCATAAATAAATCCCAAAAAAGCTCAAGACTGAGAGGTCAGATTAGCCTGGTGCCTGCCCAAACAGAGCCTGTGACAGCTGCTTGCTCCCATAATCTGAAATGGCCCTGGAGGGAGCATGCCCCAGCCAGTCCCCTGGTGGGACTCCACCAGCTCAGAAGAGATCTCACTGAGATATCAATCTGCTGAAAATTTGGGTATGTAGGTTTTGTGACTGAAAGCTCCAGGCTTTCTCAGGGTCGGGAAGGACCACCTCCCTAGACTCTTGGAAGCCTCATCAGTCACATCACAAACCAAAGTTGCCACTGAAAAAGCTACTCCAGCCTTACCTTCCTGATAAAAATACTGAATGTCCTGAAGAAATGTGATGATCTCTTACTACCTGTCTTGCAAGTCATATTATACAAAAAGAAAAGGAAAGAGAGAGAGAGAGACAAAGAGACAGAGAGACACACACAGAGAGAGAGAGAGAGAGAGAGAGAGGCTGGGGGTGAAGGGTTGGGGATGGGGTGTTGGGTATGGTGGGAGGGAAATGACAGACATTGTTGATGTACACTGGTTGAGGGATGGGTGTTGGATCATTACATAATTGAAACCCAATGATGACTAGCTTTGTTCATGATTGTTTCACGGATATTCAATAAAAAAAATTTAAAACACACACAAAAAGTAATGTGGATGGAGTTCATGCCTGCTTCAGTCAGCTTAATCAGTGGCTGAATGAATAGCATCACCTTACATTTCACCTTATCACTGTTTTCACTGTCATCCCGTTCTTTGTCAATTTACTCAAGCGGGCACCAGTAATGTCTTTATTCCTCCCAGCCCCGAGATTTTAGCAACCTCTACTTACTTGTCTTTCCCAACGATTGGACGCTCTTTCATGGTCAGGAATATGAAACCCGTTACAGTTACTGTTTTTGGCATATCGAATATGACACAGGGAGTTTGCCAAGCTCTGCCTGTGCGAGCAGGATACTCTTGTAGGTTGCCGGGCTCTCTGAGATATATATATATATATATATATATATATATATATAATGTCATATATAAGAAATTTTTAATGTAAGATATTTAAAATATATATGTTATATTTTAAAAATTTTTCATTTTTCACTCCTTCTGTATAAGTCTATTCATGTCTTAGAAGTCTAGGTGATACCCTATTAAGCAGCAAAGGGTTTCATTATTTTTTTTTTGTTTTTGTAATCTATCCAATCATTTTGTGCCTTGTGACTGCTGAGAGCAGTCCTATTTGTATAATTATTGCTACAAGGATTATCTACTGGCATTTTTCTTTTGTTGAATTTGTCTGTACATTGAATACTTTTTAAATTTTTGTTGAATATCCTTAATTTTACTTAGATTGAAGAACACCTTTGAACATACCTTATAAGGGGCATTCATTGTTGGTAAACTCCCCGAGCTTTTATTTACTTGGGAGGTCTATTTCTCCCTGATGTAAAATATAGGGTATAATAGTGTGGCAGTTTTTTCTGAGTATTTTGATTATGCCATTGCTCTCTATTCAAGTCTGATGTTGTCTTGATGTGGATTACTAATATATTTTACCCATTTCTCTTTGTTTTCTCCAAGTTTTTAATATTACTTCTTAGTCATGAACTTATACACATTTCAGTAGTATGATTTTTGGCATAAATTTTTCTATATTTATATAAAATGTGTTTTGATAGCTTCACTGACATGCATTTAGTTCTCTTTTCAGAATTGAAAAATTATCAGCTACTTTTTATTTTAATAAACACTGTTTCTTTCACTCTATTCCCTTTCTAGGGAAATCACCAGCTTATAATGCCTTTCCTACATAGTTTGAATCTTTCTGAAAAATTTTATTTTATATCATAATTATCTTTCTTCTTTCAATGAAATTTTTTATAGATTTTCACTTTTAACCTTATTAAGTAGCTAATTTTATTTTGTTTATTTTCAGAGCAGGCAACAGATTTTTTTATTGAAAATTTCAAAGCCCAAGTTTGTTTACTATATTTGATTTCTAACTTATGTTTATATATTTTATTACGAAGTGCATTAAATAGCTTTTTTGGACAGTTTTTTCTATTTCTCTTTGCATTTTTCATTGCAACTATTTAATTTTCTATTAAGACATAATCTATATACTTAAATTTGGTTTCAGGAGTTATTTCTTTTCTTGTGAAATGCTATCATCTTGATGAATTCGATATGCCAAACACAGTAACATTTGTCACAATGGAGAGTGTCACAATGTTACTGGACCTGCTGGAGCAAATTGATGAACAATGGGAGGACAGTGACAGCGGCTATTGAGATCTCAAATTGTCTGCTGTAGTTCTCTGCTATGTTATTAAGTTCATTTACCACTTTTGCAGTATTTCCTAACTTTTATAATAAAATTAAAAATATATAAATATATAAGATAAATAAATGTAAATCTGGAACTGATTTAAGCACTTGCTTTTTATTATCTTCTAGCTGGTCATCATTTTATGTATTTGTTTACTTATTTTCATATTTATTGATTTATCTTGACTTAGGTTGCTTAATATATCCCTGAGGAACTTGAAAAGCTATTTCCCTGATGTTGGAATGGAGAGTGGCACAAGGGAATTTGTGAGGAGTCAATCTGCTTCAAATGCATGGCCTTGTTTATCCCTTCATTTTTAGGGTACTAAATCTTCCTTTGGTTCACTTTATAGAATCCGCTCTGATTCTAAGGGACTGTGTGTGGGGCGTAGAGGTAGTAGAGGTTGACACATTATCTCCATTATTCTCCTTGCTAGGGCTTCTGATGTGCAACTCCTCAGCTCCTCCATTTCTTACTTTATCTCAGTCCAAGGGACACATTTCCATATCATTCTTCTTTTCCATTAGCCAGGAGGCCCTTTGGCGGGACTGACAGCCCTGATAATTTCATCACACTAAATTGTCACTTCTCAGATATCTTTTGTCACATCAGTGTGGAGATCTAGTGAACATCCTTACTAATGCTCTTTATATCTTTGTAAAGCCCTTTGTACTGATCTCTGTACAAAACCTACTATAGGTACTTCATGTATTCTTATGTCATCTTCATTCCTTATTTTTTTTAAATTTTTTAATTTTTATTAGTGAAACACCATGAGGTACAGTTGTAGACTTACAAATTTTTGTGCTTGGTTTCAATTATACAATGATCAAATACCCATCCCTCCACCAGTGCCCATTTCCCACCACCACGGGTCCCTCCCACTCCCCATCCCCCCATCCCACCTGCCTCTGTGGCAGGGCATTCCCTTTTGTTCTCTCTCTCCTTTTGGGTGTTGTGGTTTGCAAAAGAGGCATTGAGTGGCAATCATGTTTGGTCTATAGTCTACTTTCAGCATGCTTCTCCCATCCTGGGAAGATCCTCCCAACACCCTTTTTTTGGTGTTCCCTTCTCTATCTGAGCTCCCTAGCATGTGTGCCTGGCCTCCAAGCCATGGAGCAAACCTCCTGGTACTAAGGCCAACGTTGCTACCACTTTGAAAAGGTATCCTACATAAACCACTGAGTAAAGGAAATCAGAAGAAGAAAGAAACACAAGGTGATCTTACTACTCTGAGGTATATAGAATACTAGATGAGGAAATGCACTGTAGTAAAGGGGAATACTTAGATCAACCTTGACTCCAATATTTAGAGAGGAGAAGGAAAGAAATCAAGGGGAGAAGAAGAAAATGGGAAGGAACAGATGAACAGACATCGGGGCTTCAATTAAACTGGTATAACTATATTTCCAAAACACAGCCTCAACAAAGCTAAAAATATGATATCTAAACTGCAACCGCTGAAACTTTGCAGTCTGCCTCAATTGGACAGGCGGGGATGGGATGGGGGTTGGGTTTGAAAGGGAACACTGGTGGAGAGAAATTGACACTGGTGGTGAAATTGGTGTTGAAATATTATACACCTAAAAATCAACTACCAATAACATTGTGAGTTATAGTTCTTTAATAAAAAATAAAGATTAAAAAAGAAACATCCTCCATAATAGCTAAAAGAAACCATTTGCTCGAGGCCCTCCCGTTGATCGTCGATTTGCTCGAGCGGGCCCAGTAACGTCTCCATTGGAGACTTTGTTGTTACTGTGTCTGGCATATCGAATACTCTCGGTAGCTTGCCGGGCTCTCCGAGAGGGGCGGAGGAATCGAACTCGGGTCGGCCATGTTGGCCGCATGTAAGGCGAACGCCCTACCCGCTGTGCTATCGCTCCAGCCCACTCAAAGGACACAGTTAACAGCATTTTGCTCTTCCCAGTTCCCCTCAAATATTTTTAATTGATATACTAGATCCCCTTTTTCCAATAATAAAAGGTTTTATTATCGGTAGTGCATTTGCCTTGCATGCAGCCAACATGGCCGACCTGAGTTCGATTCCTCTGCCCCTCTCGGAGAGCCCGGCAAGCTACCGAGAGTATCTCGCCCGCACAGCAGAGCCTGGCAAGGTCCCCGTGACGTATTCAATATGCCAAGCACAGTAACAACAAAGCCTCCAATGGAGACGTTACTGGACCCGCTCGAGTAAATCGATGAACAGCGGGAGGACAGTGACAGATTATTTCTAATCACTTAGAAGGAAAAGATTTAAAAATGCTATTTACTTGACAAAGCATATGGGCACCTGATATGGAGCCATCAATCATAGAATAGACTGACATTTAAAGAAATCTATTTTTCTAATTGCCAGCATTTCTGTCTCTCTTGTTCTTGAATGCGATTTTAACCCTGATTATACTAAGAGTGAAGAAATTTCAATGTTATCCAGGACAAGTTTTTTCATCATGATGTTTATGGTAAGAATTATGTTATAATATTATTCCAATACAGACCTTTATATTTCATTTTCTGTGATACTTACTGTAGTCCATTTGACCTGTGGACCTAGGTCTGTAAAATACAGTGTGACAATGGAAGAGGCTGCAACACTTTGGATGGTTATGTAGTCCTTCAAAAAAGCCCCACCTTCAACAATAGAAAACAATAAAAAGTTTCATTTCAATACAATTTCAAAGCACTACAATGACTACAATGACTAGATAAGTGTCACATATATATACTAAAGATATATGTAAGGATATCTTTTTAAGCATTCTTTTAAATAGAGAAAAATTTTTCATAATCTAAATATATCATAAGTACGATAATGGTTGTGTGGCTCAATGGTAGAAAGCATAGCTAAAACCTTAGTTTGATTCTCAGTACTGTAAAAATTAAGTATACTGAGAGAAAAATTAATGAGCTAGAACTGCTTTTGGATTTATTCAAAAATATAATGCTATTAATACTGCTGTCATTGTTCATATACATACATAATTTTTATGCGAATCTGTGACATATGCCCAGTTATAAGAAGGCATCATCCATTATGTTTTTGAAACAGTAAAATGTTAAGTTCTACCTATAATTTGAGTATATTCAAATTCAAGACATCAAATTATAATTATTGGCATTTTGAAGTAAGATAAAACTATTTGATTGCTATATACATTAATAGAGTATAATAACTTGATAAATTCAATACAGAAAAGATAATATAATCAGATTTAATATTTATTTTAAAAAAACAAAGCAAAAAACATGCAAGTTTTGTTTTACCAGTTGTAATTTACAAAATGACCAATAAGTGGTTGGAAGAATCAGACTTAAAATTCAAATTTATTTCAAATAATCTTTTGTTCACACCAAATTTTCTTTGCACTTTTTTCTGTGCATCTTACTTGTCTCAGTAAATTAATTGATTCTTGTTTTCTGAATTACAATATCACATTCCTATCCATAGCACTTAAAGAAACTTCTCATACTAAGACCACATCTGGTGCACTCAAGCAGGTAAATAAATGTGAGGGCAAAGTAAAAGTTATGATTAACAAGATAGGTTGAACTAAATGGTTCCCCATTTCCTTTTACTGTTCTTCAAATTGAAATTGCATTTGATACTGATGCATATACGTCTTTATAAAAACTCAAATCTATTCAGTTTATTAGACTTAATATACTTAAATATTTATTAAAATGTAAATGTTTCACTTTGTTATTTAAAAACATCCATGTACCTAAAATCATCTATGTACTTAATGCACATATACCTTTGTAGACAAAATTTTTTAAAAAGGCAAGATTCTCCACTTTAAGCTCTGTGCAGATGGAAATATATCATGAACTTTTAAGTTCAGAGGAACTTGAATTTAACAAAATATTGTTATGAAGTTTTGACATTTGTCAAAATATTTAATATTATGTCATGAACTTTTAAGTTTGGAGAATTTAAACTCAGTATAATATTTTATGGAAGAATTTAGGAACTGAAATTTCTTAATATATGTTCCTACATATTCATAATAACATTTTTATTCTTCAAAATGGAACTCTTACCCAGAGCTCATATTCAAAGTGTCCAAATTTAAGTTCAACTTGACATAATTTCAGTAACAATGTTATTTAGCAGTAGTCATTTTTAAGTATAGAATGCTTCCTGACAAATAAAATTTGAAATTTTGAGAAATGAGGCTAAATGATAATACTCCCTAAATTTGTATCATTCCTTTTCTACCTTCTTTATTCTATTTTATAAAAAATTTATAGAAAGAAAGAAAGGAGAAAAATCCTAAGTTAGCATAAAAACAAAAGGAGGCCATATAAAAGGTAACATAGAAATTAAAAGCTTTGGATATAAAGATATTAGTCCAGATCCTACCTTCAATACACACTAGCAGAGAATTTGTGAAAAATGATCCTTTTCAGACTAAAATAATCCCTCTTTAAAAATAGAGCACCATCTTGTATCAAGGGGATAATATATTTAGAAGAGTTATCACAGTGCCGACTCTTTAGTGGGTGGCAAAAATATCCAGTATTGGGCTGGAGTGAATGATAGCATAGTGGGTAGGGCATTTGCCTTGTACGCGACCAACCCAGGTTCAATTCCCAGCATCCCATATGGTCCCCTGAGCACCGACAGGAGTAGTTCCTGAGTGAAGAACCAAAAGTAACCCCTGTGCATTGCTGGATGTGACCCCCCAAAAAAAGGCAATATTGATTAAAGAAAACAGATTCCAAATTATATAAAAAGATTACGAAAATTAGTTCTTACCATATTCTAGTTGCAGGCCAACTCGGGAAGGATACCACTTTGGACCTATTAAATGCAAATTATTAAGATTTATCAGCACAGAGTTAAACATACTTTAAAATCTGCTAATTTCCACTTAAAGATATGTTTGATATTTGGAAGTGAAAAAAAAAAACTTGTATTAAAATTTTAGACTAAGTCTCCAATTAGTATTCTTGGCAGGGTACTTCTAAGCAATGCTAGGTAGTAAGGGGGAAGAGAATATGAAAAGTTACCATGGTGGCCATTTTCTTCTTCTTTTTTTTTTTAAATCTGGAGACTTTTTGTGGACATGTGTGTAAGTATATGACCCATAATAATCAAACATCTTTGTTACTTATTTATCTATTTGTTTGTTTTAACCATCCTGGTTTTACTCAGGGCTTGTTCTGGCCTGTGTTCAAAGATCACAGGGGACCATATATGCTCTGATCCAATGGATCAAACCAGTACCTAGTGCACAAAAAACAAGCGCTTTATTCCAGTTAATCCTCCAGTGCTTTTATAAATTTTGAACCCGATTTACATATCGTCATATTCTAACCATCTAAGCTTCAGAAATTTTTTCCACAATTAGAAGTGTTCATATTACTAACAACTTTTAAGCAAAAATTTCTTCATCTTGTTAAAATATACTTATGTTATACAATATTCCTTTCTAAACTATTGGTTGTGATCATTAGCAAGTTTAACATGGAGCCAGTGTTTTAATTTTCAGCATTATATATAGGAAAAGGACAGGCTAGACAGTAGTAAATTAAAATATCTTGGAATGGACCCACGCCGTAGTATAGTGGGTAGGGTGTTTACTATGCACATAGCCAATCCAAGTTCTATACTCAGAACACTGTATGATCCCATAAGCACACCAGGAGTGATACCTGAGTGTAGATATAATATTAAGTCCTGAGCATCATTGGATGTGCATCCCAGACCACCACCAACATCAACAAAACATCATGGCATTAAATGCAATAAAATAAATGCAACAATTCCTAGAAAAACACATTAATCTTTATTTCCTGTACATGTACCTTTATAATTTAAATTATTTAAATATACTTTGAATGTTAATGTGCAAGTTAAATGTGCATATATATGAATAATGTGCATATATATATATTCTATGGGCTGGAGAGATAGCACAGGAGGTAGGGTGTTTGCCTTGCATGTGGCCGACCCTGCCGACCCCAGTTTGATTCCTCCCTCCCTCTAGGAGAGCGGGCAAGCTACCGAGAGTATCTTGCCTGTACGGCAAACCCTGGTAAGCTACCCATGACATATTCGATGTGCCAAACACAGTAACAACAAGTCTCACAATGGAGACGTTACTAGGCCTGCTCAAGGAAATTGATGAACAATGGAAGGATAGTGGTACAGTGCTACATATATTCCATATTTCTATGACTATTGGCATTATGTATTTATATATTTATTCATCAACATTATATTTAACATTATAAATATACAAATTTATTAATATATAAGACTAATATCTAGCAAATATATATTAGTATTTTAAAGTTGGTTATTATAGAACAACTAATGTGAAAATACCAATAATCATTGAATTAGCTTATAGGATAAAGTAGCCACAAATTGTCTTCAAAGGGATTTAAAAAAAAATATTTGAATCATTAAGAAAGCGATATGAAATGTCACTGTCACCGTCACTGTCCTCTTGTTGTTCATTGATTTGCGTGAGCAAGCCCAGTAACGTCTCTATTTTTTGAGACTTGTTACTGTGTTTGGCATATTCAATACATCGTGAGTAGCTTGCCAGGCTTTTGCCGTGTGGACAAGATACTCTCGGTAGTTTGGCGGGCTCGGCAATGAAATCTCTCATTCTCTCTCTCTCTTTCTCTGTCTCTCTCTCTCTGTCTCAATTGAATCACTGCGAGATACAGTTAGAAATCTTTCATGATTGAGTCTTAGTCATACAATGATCAAACATCCACCATCCCTCAACCAGTGTACAATTCTCACCACCAATGTCCCCAGTATCCCACTTGCCTTTGACACCCCACCCTACCCCCTGCCTTTATGGGAGGCACTTCCCTTCTTTCTACTTTGGGGCATTATGGTTTGCAATATGGATACTGAGAAGCCATATGATGGTTTATCTCTGAGCTGTCCATTGAATTCCACTGGTCTGAGAGTGGATCTTTATCCAAATGATTTACACAGTGGTTAACTGTTGCCAGTGACTTGGTAAAATGGGTAGCTAGGAAGGTAGACTCAGAAAAGAGTGCTTCGACCTCAATGTTCGACCCAGTCTCCAGTGCATAAGAGGAAATGCATGGCCTAGATCTGGTCAGCCCTGACCCCAACACACTCATTGTTAGCTTTCCCTCACAGAAACAAAATTTCAGGAGAAAGTAAAATGGTCAAGTAAGAGAGTTTTTATTAAACTTATTTAAAAGATGTGAGGGGAGAAAAAGGGAGAAGTGTGCATTCAGGAGAACACAGACTTCTTCAAAGTAGAAATAGGTCCTCAAAGAAACATTCAAGCAAGATATTTGTTCAAGAGAGAACATGTGCTTAAGTGCAAGTTCTGAATTCCTATCAGAAGGAGCTTCTCTTCAATTCTTCTGTTGGTTTTTTTTTTAAGCTTTGCAAACTTAAAAGTTAATCTGGGTGTTGTCAAAGTAAAGCCTTGCATTGTTATGGTCTTTTCATAATCTCTTGGATTCTTCTATAGTTTGACCTTTTTTGAGGTCTCCACCCTTCTCTGTGTGGGCTTTGACTTTCTGTAGCTGAATGGTGCATCAGCTTTTCTTCTTCAAAGAACTCACTATGTGTATCTCAAAGAGATGTGATCTTGAACCATGGTTTAGAAATTAGAATCTCTTCTTAAATTGCTTAAATTGCTTAAATCTCTTCTTAAATTATTTCCCAAAAGTACTTTATCAGGGTTTCCTTACCTTTTGCCTACAGCACTGATAGCCCAGCTTTAGATTTAAAATTTTCTAGCACCAGTCCCTCAATCTGACTGAAGATATCTGAGCGATGTACTCAGAGCTATTCACTTTGTGTCACTTAAGAAATTAAGAGATATATTAGAGGTTGCTGATGATCTCTACCTCATTCACTGAATTTCAAAACAGAAAACACAAATGGGGTAATACCGTAAGATAACCATTATCAAGAATATTCTTAAACGTAATAGTTTATTACATAGCACAATGAATTATTGTTATAACATAGCATAATGAATATATTTAAATTAATTACTAAAATTTTGCAGCTCATTAAAAGTTGATTCATTTTATTAGATGACAGATTCTTTACTCTTTTAAAAATTTCCACTTGCCACTTAAGAGCAATTTGAGTGTTAGTTGTTATTTATAAGATTTGACAATTTCTAAGGTATATAAGTTGTCAAATTCTTTTGAAATATGCTTAAGAAAAAGTTGTAAATATCCTGACAAGTTTTGAGAATCAGGGAAGCAGTTGCAATTACAGAGTAATATTGATTAGTATTGATATAAAATGAAATCTTTAAAACATGTCAACCATTGCATAAAATATTAATCAACAATTTAATGTATATATGATCAATAATTTTATTTTAGTGTATATTCATGTACATGAATGTACATATTCTACTCATCAGAAATCTTAAAGATGAAATATGGATATTTATACTCATATTTTACTTATATAGCAAAGTACAAAGTAAACAAAGAATTAAGCTATTTGTTGTGATATAATTATTTTCTTACATAAAAAACTAACAAACCATAAATTGTAAATCATCGTCATCTTAAAATTCGCATGCAATATGAAAAAAAAATTGGTGATTCTGCTACCCACTAATAAATGAGTTTTACCTGACCTCAGTCATTAAATTCCTGAAAGGTGAATGATCACTTAATTTCAATTACCTTCACAAAATGTAACTTTGGCTGTTGCAAAAAATAACCTATAAAATCAGCTTATTTCTCCTTCTTAAATTATTGATAAGGCTCATAATTCTTCTTGGGAAGAATAATTCTTCAGGAAAGAATTTATTGTAGAAAAAATAACTATGAGTTAGCAGTAGAGGACTATTTAAAGAAATCTATTTTGCCACTTTCCTTTGGTTGTATTTATCATTTTTTTAGCTTCATTGTTAAGAGATCAGTGAATTCTACAGCCTTGTCCTTTCAGATTGTCTGAAAAACACTCATTATTTTATGCTGTAAGTGACAAATAAATCTTTCTATTCTGTTATCTTTGTTTTGAGTTACTCTCCTTGAACCTTTCAAAGTTTAGTATTGTTTATAGCCTCTCGGTCTTTTGGTAAAGATTTATATGCATTTTAACCATCACAAAAATGATATATCCCTCCTTGTGGCTGAATCAACAATTGGGTCTACTAATTCCTCCATTTCTTCTCCTGTTTTTTTCTCTTTACCCCAGAGCTTTCTCTGAATTTTAGAGACAACTATACCAATAGACTATAACATTGTTGAAAATTTTATTCAGATCATCAACTAATAGATAAAGTGCAAGTCATATCAAAATAATGATTCCTTTTCTTTCAGATTTGTTCTTTAGAGCAGAGTCAGTACACAAATTACATTTTGTCGGATTGTCATTAATTTCCTATTCTAGTTCACACACTGCTTAACTACTTTTAAAAAGATCAAATTCAATTTTAAGCCGTAGTTACATTCTTCCATTTATATTGACAAGTGTTTTTAAATTTCATTATTGGTCTTATGTCATATCATGTTAGATAGGTATTGCAGTTATTGTGACAATTTTGAACTGTGTTTCAACAGATGGACTACTATTAATTTTCTTATTAATTAAAAGCAAACTTCCTAGTGCACTTTCTAGTATTGAGACTAGTAATCACGCTTTTCAGGCAAAATAAATAGGTAATTTTTAGATTTCTGTTTGAAGAAGTTAATAAAAACCATGACTCAGTAAAATTAAGGTAAAGGTATTGTAGTGCCATTTTAATATCCTTGAATTAGATTACTTGATTGAATAGTGGATGCAAACTCATTTTGTCTAATACAATGTCCGACACTGTCAATTGATCTGATCTTTGATTTAAAATGTTTCTGTAATATTAAAATTATAATAGTACCTATCATGAAGTTGTGAATATTTTTTTAAAAAGTGTGTAGATAGAAATGTCTTATGAGATTTATGGTAATATATTATAAAAGATAATATATAAATAATAATAAATTATCTATTATTATTACTAATGCACGATAGCTAGGTAAAACATGCAAAGACCATTTCAATTTTTTGGAAAGAGGGTCTCCCAAGCTGTGCTCAGGAGGCCTGAAGAGTCTTTCCTTTGAAATTAACTTTGGAAGAAAAAGGCCACAAGTTCACTCCAAAGGACTGCCTCAAATAGTTGAAAGCAATTCTCGTGGCACTGCAACTTTGATCTGTAAAGTATGTGAACTTTGGCATGCCACCATCGACTGTGTCCTGAACACCAGAGCAACAACAATGCAACAAGAAAGAGAAAAGCAAAGAAAAATTTCTTACTACTTTGTTTAAATAGATATTCTAGGGCCAGAGACGTAGTACATCTGGTGAGGCGCTTGCTTGGCACACAGAGCTCAAATGTGATCTCTGCCAGGAGTGATCTCTGAACAGAAAGCCAAAAGTAAGCCCTGAGCACTACTGGGTGTGTCCCAGCATTTCTCCTCCCCCTCCCCTCACCTCACCCCCTTCCTCCAGCCAAAACGGGAAAAATCTTCAGGTCAATGCCTTTCATATAAAGTTTCTTCTTAGAACAAATGCTGCTATATATGATTAGTCAAATATGCCAGAGAATAAACAATTTCATAAAAAGCTAAAATTTTGCTGGAACTTGAAAGATCAATTATGTTAGATACTAGCATCTTCATGATCAAGTTATATTTCACACATTATTTCAGAGTTCCAAGTGACTATGTAATTTAGCATAAAATTATTGTCTTAATACCGAAATGTTTCCTAGAGGTAGTTTTCAAACAATTTGAGGAAAAAAACTGATAGAAATAAAAATTGTATATAAGACTTACATGCTTGGTGAAATTTTTGTTTAACATCATGAATAGTAAATGTTTGCATCACCTGAAAAGGCAAATAAAATATAAATATTATAAGCAAAAGTTCTCCTTTGCTATATATGTGCTTAGGATGAAAATGAGTTTCTATGTGTAAAGCATAAAATTATGACAAAATAGTTGATTTGTTTTGTTTTCAACATTTTTGGTAGTATCACTTTAATATCCCTGAAGCTTTTCAAATTATACTTTTTTTCTCAATTACTACATTCACGCATATCAATAGATGATAACATTTTTATGTATCAATGGCAAAATAATGTGAGTTATTCAAATTTTACATTCTATATAACATGACGTGGCATATCTGGCATAAACAGCATGTCATTTGGAGTGAAAGACTGAAGGAGAAAGAAAGCACAAATATTGACAACCTTTTCGGCTTCCATCTGGGGGAAGGGTTAAGACCGAGGGTTTTGTGAATTTAAATTTTTACTCTGAATTGCTCCACAGTGCTACAGAGCTACTCCGAATTGCATAGCAAATCTGAAGTCCTTAAAACACAGAATTTTATAACTGAAACCCAAGCACAAAAATTTATAAGTCTACAACTGTACCTTATGGTGTTTCACTAATAAAAATTTAAAAAAAAAAAAATGAAAACTATTTGAAATGCAAATCCAAAAAAAAAAAAGAATGAAAGAATTTAAAGTGAAGAACCAAAAAAAAAAAGTAGCCAAGTGATTAGTTACTTTAACCAATCAACAACTGTGAACCTATTACTTCATTGAGGGGAGTCCTGTCCTGTCCTGTCCTGTCCTGTCCTGTCCTGTCCTGTCCTGTCCTGTCCTCCCATTGCTCATCGATTTGCTCGAGCGGGCACCAGTAACGTCTTCATTGTGAGACTTGTTGTTACTGTGTTTAGCATATCGAATATATCACGGGTACCTTGTCAGGCTTTGCCAATGCAGGCGAGATACTCTCAGTTGCTAGTTGGGCTCTCTGAGAGGGATAGAGGAATCGATCCCAGGTTGCCCCAGTTGGCCGTGGTAGCCTGGCTATCTAGTCCTGTGCCTGGCAGCATTTACTAGAGATCTTGACTTTGGGATGGATGCCTGACAAAGTTTAAGTTATTCACTTGCATTAACAAAGTAACTGACCACACCCTGAGATGCTGTAGATGCCATGTGGGGCCAGGGTCAAATCCTAGTAGATGCATGAAAGGCAGTGTGTCTTAAAACCATTCTTTATTATCTCTTGGTCCACAGTAATAATCTTAGCCAGAGCTCTTCTAAATAGTCTCCTGCAATTTCTACCTCAACATGGGTGTTTCACCTTGCATCTTGGTGAGGGAAATTGCTTACTTCATTAAGACCTCATAAACCAAACTTTAGCTTCCAAATTTACATTCCAGCTTCAGAGTGAATTGCTCTCCTCTGGGAATTCAAAGAAAATTAGTGTGAAGAAAATTAGTTAGGGCTTTGAAAAGATTAGTTTGTAACATAGGGCATGTTGCGTTGGTTTTTTCAAACCACTGAAATGTTCTCTAGAATGGCAAAATGACTTTTGCATTTTTATCAGTTATGTTTTCTGAAATAGTACTTGAATTGTTTCCCATAGATTTTCCTTCATCACAACTTTTTTAGCTGGAGCAAATAAGTCTAGTATTGGGGGCTAATCTTGGACTTTGAAATACCTTTCTCAATAAGCTTAACAATTTCTAGCATTTTATTTTAAATGACAAATGGGTATCTCTTCCTTATATTTTATTGGAAGGGGCACACCGGGCAGTGCTCAGAGTTTACTTCTGGCTCTGTGCTCAAGGATCATTCCTGATAGGCTCAAGGCGCCAAATGGAGTGCCAGAGACTGAACCCAGGATATTTGTACAAGGCAAATGCCCCACCTTCATGCCATACACTTTAAAAATTAGTTGTCACTGTATGTTCATTTATTCCCTTAAATTTGCCATTATTGTATTTAAAGAAATATAGAGTACCATGGAGAAGCAGAGTGATGTAGAAAAGCAATGAAGTTAGCAATATAAATATGCAAATATTTTCTATTAAGTTGCCTGTTCAATATGGGCCTGGATCATAGTCCTTTAGAGAGACACAAAATAACATCAAAGATTACTAATCACAGATTTCGTGGAGAGCAGGTATGAGCCGGGGGTGTGGGGGGGCGACTAAAACCTCATGGGACGGGGGGCATTCCCGTCCATCCTTCACGCCCTACCGAGGCCACCAGTTGCCCCCCACGAGCGGCTCTCCAGCACGGCCACAGCCCCAGAAGCACAAGGACTTAATGCAGAACCCAGCAGCTTGGAGCAGAAAAGTGAACGGACTATGTGTTAATCCAGGCCATCATGTCTGCCCGGAGGGGAAAGTTCTTTTATAACACTCTATCAGATATAGATAGATAGATAAATAGATTTTAAAAATTTTAACATGCTCCGCCCTCCTCCCTCTGAAAAGAAAGATGGCAGCCGCATGGGAGCCTTGTGGAGAGCAGGTATGAGCCGGGGGTGTGGGGGCGACTAAAACCTCATGGGAAGGGGGGCATTCTGGTCCGTCCTTCACGCCCTACCGAGGTCACCAGTTGCCCCCCACGAGCGGCTCTCTGGCACGGCCATGACTCCAGAGCACAGAAACCAATCTCTTAATTATCTGACTCTCAGTACAAATACTTCCAGGGTTAATTAGCAAAATAGCGGAAATCCAAAAAGAACATTTAATTCTTGAACCCAGCTGTAGAAAGCGAATCACTTCACAATGCTTTTTCAGCATGTCTGATTTGGGGGGAGGGGGTAAACTCTAAATAATAGTGGTGCATCTTTTATTGAAACAATGAATCTAATCAAAGCAGATAGAGTGCCAACTAGAATTCATCTTCCTCACAGGCATTGGGAGGGGTGGGGGGTGGGGTTTTATTGGGGTTCTTCGTGGTAAAAAATAAGTATTGGTAAAGGGAAAGGTGTTTGATATTTGCATGAATGAGACCTAATCCTGAAAGCTTTGTAACTTTTCCCACAGAGATTCAATAAATAAATAAATTATTTTAAAAAAAGATTTCCAATAATAGATACTATAATAATAATAGAAACATTTGAAATATTATGAGAATTAACAAATTAGACATAGAAATTCAAAGTGAGTATATGATGTGGGAAAATGGTACCAGTATGTTTACTTGATGCAGACTTAACACAAACATTGAATTTGTGGAAATCGCTGTTCTTAGGGAAACACAATAAAATGAAGTGTAATAAACTGAGTAAAATTTGTATGATCTTTCTAAATACATTATTTTATCTCCAGTCTGAAAAAAAACATAGGTCTATCAAAAGTCATGTGATAGAGACTATGTTTTTTATATACATAGCGTTGTTATCATATATATTTAATTATTTGAGTAATTCTTAGTTTAGCCTGATAGACACTGTTAATTTTACCTATGATCTATATCTAAAAAGTGTCAGGACTTTGAAAAATAACTGCTTTAAATCTATTTAGTTGAAAGAAGCTTATTCTATTAGCTTTAATCCTGATATAAAAAAAACCTCCAAAATACCAGATAACACCTAGAATTTGGAAGTGATGTACATACATCTTTTTACCTATATCAAGATTTATATTGCATTATGTTAAATATAGACACTGTAAGATGAGACATAGGCAAAAAAATAAAGAAGATTAACTCTTGAAAGTCTATATTCATAATAAATTTTTGACATAAACTATGCAAGATAGAAGTTACAATTATTTCTGCCTAATTGACTGACTACCTCCATAAATGCTACTACACAATGCCAGCCACTGAAAGTTATTTTATCATTTTTCAAATATAGCTAGCTGTATATTTCATGTCACAAAATTTCATTCTCAATATTGAAATAAAATCAGAGTATATCCCGTTGCATAGAACAATGATTATTTGGTGATTAAATTAGCCATACTCAAGTGTAAAAATAAGCAGTTCTTTATCTAGAAGTTTATCTCATTATTCCCAAATTTGGATGTGTTATAGTTTTATACTCTCAAATGTAATATACAAAGTAAAATATTTGTGTATACATAGATAACATATTGATCATATATTTAAATAACTAGAAATGATCATACATGTGCTATACCAAAAACTTTTTACTCCAACGACATTATAGATTTTAAAACTAGAAAACTTTAGATAATTTTATTGATAACACTGATTTTATATTATTTAGGTAACAAATATAAATATAGCATTATAAATCACTATCTATATATACTGTGTGTTTTCTGGTAAAATGTCTAGCTTACAGTTGAATTGATTTTCCCAATTTAACTAGTTCATTACATATCTTTTCCTTTCTGGCAGTCAATGTTTTTTTTTCTTATAGACCAATAATTTCTTTATATTTTATTTGTATTTTGGTTTCCTCTTACATGAGGAAAATCAAAATGTTCATATTTGACTTCTTTTACTTTTCATTCATTCATTCATCATCCTGTTATTCGTCGATTGCCTCGAGCAGGCCCCAGTAACGTCTCTTTCATCCTAACCCTGAGATTATATTCAAGGCTCTTTAGGAGAATGAGACCCATCATTGTTACTGGTATTTGGCATATTTGGTATGCCATGGGGAGTTTGCCAGTCTCTGCCCTGTGGGCAGGCTACATTCGATAGCCTGCAAGTTTGTCCAAAGTAGGAATGAGATAATAAGATGTCATAAAAAGATGTCCTGATAAGATGTTCCGGGAGCTGGATTTTATAGTACAGGGGGCCAGGTGGTGGGTGTGACCCCCGCCTACTGGAATTTGGAGGATCTGGGTGGAGGATGCTCGACTCCAATCCGAGTAGGCTTGGAGATCTCGGCCCCAGAACCCGTGTGGCTTTGTCCCTCTGCCAGTACCTTCCTGTGTGCGGAGAGTGGACTCAGCATGGTGGTGGCTGGTCCTGGAGGTCTTCGGCTGCCGGAGCCCTGGTCGGGGCGGGGAGGAAAGCTCAACCCGCTCCCCTCCAAGGGACCCTGGCGAGGAACAGCCAGGCGCAGGGGCAGGAGACTGCACTGGTCTCGCCCGGGAGC